AAATCACTAAACTAGGCATTTGACCCAAGCGATGTCATTGTTAGGCTAATATCCTAAAGTAATCAAAGAAAGATGACCCATTTATACAAAGATATTTAAGGCAATGCCCCACCCCCTGCTCTCCAGAATGTATGTTTTCAATGGTAATAAACCCATTTTTTACCAGGCACTACCACCTCCCTCAGCCTCTTGCTGAACTGGCACAGAATTAAGTCTCTACATCCCTGCCCTTCATTCCTCACTCCTTAATAGGCAATTTAGAAAACCACTCATTTCATTGGTCTCAAATCTCTTCCATTTTAGATGACAGGAAGGTTTCCTATTGGTTCCAGTTGACTCTTCGTCTAAAACTCTATATAATTTTGAGCCCTAAGGTGCTCTGAGACTTTGATCAGAGTAGGAAAGCCATTGCATTGTGATATGTCTGGAAGCCACCTAGAGTATGCTGCAATACAGGTCTCAAACCAAAACCATTTCCTATTGGCATCTATTTTCCTCTTCCCCTTGTGAGTAGAAATAAAGTTCTGTTCAATGCTATCCCTATGTGACTCTACTGCTCTTCCTCTAAACTATCTTGCACTATAAATTACTGTACCATAAAAAATAATGAAAAGAACAGTTTCAGGAATCCTGGGAAGACAAAATGAACTCATAAAGAGGGAAGGGACTAGAATCAGGAGAACAATTTACACAATAACAACACTGTAAAGAAAACAATTTTTTGAAAGCCTTATGAACTCTCTTCAATGCCATGGTCAACCACAGCTCCAGAAGTCTGATGTTCAACCAAATTACCTGCTTCCTGAACCGAGAAGGGATAGACTCAAAGTGAAGAATGAGACATATATTCTTGGACATGGCCACTGGATGGATGTGTTTTGCTTGATGAAGTTTATGTGGTATCATGGCTTTGTGTTTCTTTTGTTCAATTGAAAGAAGGATTTGGTGGGGAGGGGAGGGCAAAGCATAGTGTTTCAAAAAGAGAGAGAGAGAAAGAAAGAAAAAATGCACAGAAGAGCACAGATGTTCAGAAGGAATAGCTTTAAAACAGAATAACAGAATAGCTTTAAAAGTAACAGGTTGAATTTATATGCTTTTTTAAAAAGCAAGATGTATATAATAGAAATTCACAGTTTCAAGTACTTTGTATATTATTTTTCTGTTCTACTTGGTATATAGAAATGCTCCTGTGTATATTATATACATACATATGTATGCACATATATATCTATATATAAAAAGAATAAAGCTCCCCAACCCTACCACCACTCAGAAGAGCCAGGAAAGGGACATTGGAAGCAGGAAGAGAATGATTTGGACAGTAAATGTGAATCTTCCCTGCCCCAGCCTCGACCTCATCATGTCTGTATACACACACATGCATATACAACATGTATATGTGTACATGTGTGTGTGTGTGTATGTATAGAAATACCACACAATAGGAAGGAAAGTAAGGCATTGTGGTTTGGAGGGTCTTTTGTGTGCCTTATTGGTCCTATGACTTGCCCTTGAACCTGCTTGCTGGCAGTGTCCTCTGTTCATAGCAATTTCCATTGGTCTGCCTTGATTGCTCTCTTCTGTTTCTCAATAAACAGTTCCAGAGAGCAATCTGTCCCAATCACCCTTCTAGGTAAGCATGCTTCTCTTATAGTCAACCATAATAGCTTTTTGGCACCCTCTGACACCTTAGATGACATCCTGTAACTCTCTTTTTCTCAGAAGACCATTCTAGTTCAAAGTCAAGAAGCCAGTCAGTCTACAAGCAAATGTTTACTTAGCATTTACTATGCGCCAGGAAATTCTGGGTAAACCTTCCTCACCAGTCCTGTGAGTCATTGCTGTGGCCAGAGTCAAAATGTATGCAATGCTCTCACTAAAAGTTTTTTGAATGAATGAATAAGCAGTCATAACGTAGGTCACAGCTGAAGAAAAAACTTGGACTAAAGACACAATTGATGATTCACTACCAGAGAATAGTCAGGGTGGCATCTATATCCACCCAGGTTAATTGATGGTAAAGAATGTCAGAAGATTGAGACATAGTGGGATAAGTGAAGCTGTTTGCTTTGAAAAATTCCCTCCCCACTTCTTGATATTACAGGGGCACTCTGAAAGAGAAGCAATTGACACAATCTCTGCTAGGGTAATTTAGGGAAACCAGGAAGTAGGCCAATGACATGCATGTGGCAAACATGTTTAGAAGTCATACTGGAGGGTGTGAGGGCCAAACTATGGGAGAAGAGACAGGGATAATAGGACCTCAGTTTCAAGTGTACATTTCAGCATGAAAATGGAAAGTAATTGTGGGAGAATATGGAGGCTAGGAGCCTTATCTTAGATCTCCTTCCCCACAATGATTGTCACAGTGTGTGAGGATTATGTATGCACCTATCTGTGCACAAGTAGAGGACTTGTGGCCTTGTAGCTAGTATCCCCCCAGAGAATGTCACAGATCTGCTCAAATTAATGTTCTAAGATCTAGATCTTCTTGTGTACTCTGGCACTCTCTTCACAGAAACTACAGAGATTACAGAAGATATTCATTCATAGAGAATACAAATTTGATTAATGGCCAATCACCGTTACTCCCTAAAACTAATGTCTTCATGGAAGAACGCTAGAATTCAGAGTACATGTCCTTACCCAGCATTCATTCTCTCCATGTTCCCTCAACTCAAATTTCTGTCCTACATAGTCAATGCCCTTACTCTGGTAGATACTTCTGATTTACTCCTCCCAACTTTGTACTCACTCAAATGCTCCATGCACTGACTTAACAAAATCAGAGGTCAGTTTCTCTTACCATATCTCTAATACCACTAGTAAGAGTAAGTCATTATTCTCTTAAATAAAACTAGAACATAATCATCAGGCATAGGCAGCCTTGTGCCTTCCTATGTTGTTCCCCCTTGAGACTTTATCTATATATACCAATCAAACTTTCAGGAACCACTGCTGGGCCCACAGAAGCTGAGATACTCTTCCCATTACCTGGTCTGTGCCCAGTCATTTGATCTGGACTGAGTTCAGTCCTGGGGAGCTTGGTCTCTAATGAGAAAAGGGGAGGCTTCCTATTTTCATACGCTTTAGCTCATAACACCACTACTTTGATGCACCAGAGGTAATTTTTATTATTGGATCACATATAGGATTTCCTCGAAAAGGAGGAAGTGAAAAAGGTCTTCAATATATATACAAATCAGATATGGTGCAAGTAATTTATTCCTACACACAAAAAGCATGCTAAATGCAGTCCATTCATCAGCATACATTTGACAAAGCAAACTTAAAATAGGATACATTAACAACTCTTGGCTATGATCTGTGAAAAAAAATTAATAATAAAAAAGACACAGTGACCATATGTCCCAGATTTGTGAAAACAGTTCTAATTTTAAGAAAAGACAGTATACTTTTATTGAGCCTTTGCAAAAGCCTCCTTTACCAGATTGGGTACTCTAATTTTTAGTATGGAAAACATTGTCATTAAACATACAGTATGCCATAACAACATAGGATTCAGAGCTGAAGAGACCTTCCTAATCAAACTAGTCCAGCTCCATCATTTTACAGATAAGAAAATTGAGTGGCCAAGAGGTAAAGAAACTTCCACAAGGTAAAAGTAAGTGGTAGAGCCCAAAATCCAAACCTAGCTCAAACAATCTCAGAAAGGGAAAGCACCTCAGAAGCAATCTAGTCCAACACGTGGCTGCATAAGAATCCCCTCTCTGACATTCCTGAAGAGTGGCCACCCAAACCGTGCTTGAAGACCTCTAGAAAAGGGAGAAACTACCTCCCAAGGCCCTCTATTTTTGGAAAGTTCTAATTTTTAGGAATCCCCAACCCCTACATCAAGCTTAAATCTGCCTTTCTGCAACTTGTACACACTGTTCCTAATTCCACACTCTGTTTTCTGACTCTAATTCAAAGACTCTTTACCCTATTTTCAAGAGGCATGGTATAATAATAATAGAGCAAAGAGCTATACAAATATAATTTTGTTTTATCCTCACAACTCTGAGAGGTAAGTGCTATTATTATCCCCATTTTGCCAATAAGGAAACTAGGGCAGACAGGCTAATTGATTTGCCCAGAGTCACATAGCTAGTAAGTATCTGAGGCAGGACTCAGGTTTTCCTTATTCCAGGTGCATCACTCTATCGACTTTGCTACACATGATAGACAGTGTGATGAACTTGTTGTCAGGACACACCTGGGTTTGAATTCTGCCTCTGACATTTAATGAGCCATATGATTATGGGCAAGTCATATCTCTGAACCTCAGTTTCCTTATCAGTAAAATGGGGGTAATAATTCTATACAACCTACTTCACTGGGCTGTTGCAAGGATCAAAAGAAATTACACACACACACATACACTTAAAATCCATTTTGCAAATTTAAAGTGCTAATCAGCTATTATTGCACTAACATAAGTAAGCCCTAAAGGTCATTTAAGACCAGATTTTGGAGAGTTATAAATATCAGGTTCCCTCTATATTCAACTTCTTAGTTGCAATCAATTAGCAATAACAATAACTAACATTAATATGACACTTTAAGATTTGCAAAGCACCTTACATATGTTATCTAATTCTACTTATTATTATTATTATCACTCCTACTATTGTTAATCACATAAGGCAAATGTGAATTTCTATTAGGAGATTTCTTTTGACATTTTTTTCTTTGTAGGAAATGGTATATAGTGGCAAACAAGATTTCCTTTATTTCACAACATGCCTTTTTCCTCATTACAAAATTATAGAAAATAAGGTTTAAAGTGAAGGAACCAGCAGGCACTGCCCATTTTCAACACTCAGAATATATGATGTAATATCATGTCAACACCTAAAAAAATATTGTCAAGAACTCTTGGATCATTGTCAAGACAAGGTACCCAAGGCAGAGTAGAAAAGCTGTCAAGTTCTCCCCACTGTCCTTGACAGTATTTATCTGTGACAGGAGGCAGATGTTCTTATAGAAATACTTTGTCATTTGGATCAGTTGGGTCCCTGGGCACAGCACTGCCAAGTCTGCTTTTCCTACACAAACTCTTATAGTAAGACTGCCCTCTTTGAAAACATTTACTTTGAAGCTATCCCCATAGAATCTAATGGAACTCATCTGTACTTTATTTTCTTTAGGGGGCAGAGAAGGAAGCTGGAACCTGAGGAAGAGAAATATTGTAAACAACCTTATGAAGACATAATCATCCCAATTGAGGAATGACATAAAAGAAAGGATTAAAAAGAGCTAGATTACCAGCAAGTGAAAGAAATGGAAGAGGAGAATGAAGAAGAGAAAGACAAGGAAAGAATTATACTTCTCCAAAGTAAGGATTTTGAGTGTGGGTGACAATTTTATAAATATATACATATATGTGTATGTCAACATACATATGCACATCCATACATATATACATACATGCATATACACAAGTTGTCCCAAAAGTCTTAGTGCATATATAGAGAGAGAGAGGGAGGACTGGGGGAGAGAGAGGGAGAGGGAGAGGGAAAAGGAGAGGGAGAAACAGAGGAAGAGGGAGAGAGAGAGAGACAGAGAGACAGAAAGAGAGAGAGAGACTCTAAACAACGCTCTGACGCTAGAAGTTGCCAACCTGTATGGGCAGAGAGAGTTTCTTCATCTGAGAGTTCCCTGTATCAGAGATATTATAAGTTCATTCTTCATATATACATGTCTGTGTCTAATACATGTATAAGTTTATATGCTTACATATTTAATTAATTACAATGGTTCATCCAGAAAAGCAGAATAGAGGTTTAAGAATCGTCTATTTCTGGAAATGATGCTGATCAAGAAAAAAAATTAATCACTTTAAAGTTGTAATCTGTTTTCTAAAGCAAGTCTCTAAAGTCAAGTCCCTAAAAAACCAGACTAGGTCAATGTCAAAAATAAAGCATAGGGTTAGTGATGTACCTTCTGCTTAAGATGTACAGTTTCATTCTTTTATGAGTTCCTTTAAGACTGTGAAATGGTGCAAAAAAGGGTTTCCGAGAACAAAGCATTGAGTAACACCTGCCTATTATGCAAAAACCCTAATGCAAAAGAGCCCAGCTTTCACAAGTTGCTTCTGAGCAGGCCAAAGATGAGTTCAAGGCTAGATTTTTCTCTAAAGGACCTTTCTTGGCCAAATTTCTTTGAACCATCTTTGAGGGGATAAATCAGATGGTTCATGTTAAATTGCATGGCACACTCTATAGGTGTCTCCAAGATGCATTTGAAGTAAGGTCTTAAAAAAAAGTGTTTCTGGTATAGTGGTAGAGAACATTTGACTATGAGATAATGAAACTTCTACCCTTTCACTTTCCCATTTAAGTATCTTTACTAAACTACCAGAAATAGATGTTTTTCCATATGATTTATTGGTTCTATTTCTCTCAAGTTTCTCTCAGGATTAGTTTTTATTCAATTCGCTTCAACAAACATTTACCAAAGGCCTACTATATGCAGAGCACTGTACTAGGTACTAGAAGAAGATACAGGCATGATTCATTATTGTTGCTACCCCCATGGAACCTAAACCATTCCTAAGAACTCATTATCATTGTTGTTATATTATAACTGTTATTAATAATACCAACAACACTAATAACAAGTGACATCTGTACTCCAGTATTCCAGGGTATCTTCAATCTCAGCATGGGTATTCTCTCCAACAATGCTAATTCCAACCCATCCATGCCTTTTGTCCTCATTTTCCCACATATTCACTACAAGGGGTCCAATATAGCCTTTTAGAGTCCGCAAAGCACTTCACCTTCTTTACTCCTTTACTTCTTCTGTGGCTCACAACAATCTTGTGAGGTGGATCTACAGGTTTGATTATCCCCATTTTATGAGTGAAGGCTCTAAAAGAATAAATGATTTGCCCACATACTCAGTCACATAGAAAGCAAGAATGCTGGAGATGAAGTCTGGACACAGGTCTTTCTGACTCCAAGTCCAGCACTCTATCATATACCATGCCACCTGGTGGCAATATTAGATTATTATACTCTTTCGCTTGATCATTGATTTGAAAAGTACACTTGTTTCCTTCTCTTTCTCCTTCTTCTTCCTCTTCCATTTCTTTCGGTTGCTAGTAATTTGTTCTGTTTTAATCATCTCCTTTATGCAACTCTTAAAAAAGGAATGATACTTCTCTATAGGGTGGTCTGCAATATTTCTCTTTCTCAAGTAACCAGATAAAAGAAAATATTAGTATTACAACTTCTCTCCTTAATTCTTGAGAAGGAAAATGAATTGTCATTTTCTAGTCTCTGGTGGATTATTTTGTTACTAGGTTTTTACAAATGTGTTTTTCCTCATAAAAAGTCCTCAAAGTTTGGTAACAAGTGTACTTGAAGTTCTGAAGTATAGACAAACAAAATAAAATATATCTTGTATGAAAATAACATGTTTTTGTCTAATAAATAGAGCCAGCCACAGAGAACTAACAAGTGTTCTTGGAACGCATAGAATGTTAAAGCTTGAAAGAGGATATACTTAGAGTGGAAAGGGACATTAGAGGCCATGGAGTTCAGTGCACTCATTTTACAGTTGAAGAAACTGAGGCTGAGAGAGGTTAAGTAAGTTGCCCAAGCATCACAAAACTAGTACATATCGGAGGCAAGATTTGAACTCAGGTCTTCCTATGTCTATGCCCAGAACTCCATCTATTGTGTCACTTACTTTTAAATCCTCAAGAACTACAGGAATAATTGATATTCAATTCCTTCTTAAATTCTCTTTTTTTTAAATTCCTACACGTAACAATTTTGATAGAGATAGTATGTAAAGAGATGAATTTATCTCTGACACTAACAATTTTTTCTGAATTGAAGCAAAAGTTGTAAAAAGCATGTTCATGTAGACAGAGTCTTGAAGAAACATGTATTTAATACCTGTAACTCTATATTAGGTTCTGGGAGTCAGAGCCAAATTAACACAAGATAACTGGTGCTACTTCTCCAGTGACAGTGGGTAGGGCTATGGTTTCTGTTCTCTCCCTCCCCTTGTGGAGTACCTGCTGCCATATTGGTCCCACCCTGTTGTTGGCCCAGTCTGCTTTCTACTATGGAATTTCACACCCCTTTCCTGGGGCTGCCTTCCAGAAGCTTCATGTCATACACTTGCTTCGGGGGGGCACAGAGGGACAACCTCAAGGGCAAAGATCAGTCAAAGGGAATCAGCCAACTAGGGAATCATCAGAAGTCTACGTGTAAAGACAGAACAATAAACCCTTACGCATTGTGAAATGGGGACAATCATATTCGATACTTACCTCAGAGGACAATTAGGAGTAAACTGTTTGCAAAGCAAAGTCTTGTCTGACACTTCAGACTTGGGGTTTTCTTGGTAAAGAATAGAGTGGTTTTCAAAAAAAAAGGAAAGCAGAAAAATGGGGGGAAATTATAGCAAGTTTCTCTGATAAAGGTCTCATTTCTTAATCATATCAGGAACTGAGTCAAGTTCATGAAAAATAACAGCCATTCCCCAACTGAAAAATGGTCATATCTCAAGGATATGAAAAGGCAGTTTTCAGAAGAAGAAATTAAAGCTGTCAATAGTCACATGAAAATGCTCTAAATCACTATTTTTTTGTGATTTCATATGTATAATGTGTATCATATTGCTTGTCTTTTCAATGGATAGGTTAAGGAACAGGACACGGGGGAAAGAATTTGGAATTCAAAGTAAATGAATATTTAAATTAAAAAAAGAATAAATAGAGTGATTTGCCATTTCCTTCTCCAGCTCATTTATAGATGAGGAAATTGAGGCAAACAGGGTTGAGTAAATTGCCCGGGTCACACAGCTAATAAGTGTGGGAGGCCAGATTTGAACTCAGGAAGTTGAGTCTTCCTAATTCCAGGCCCAGTGCTCTATTTACTGTGCTACCTAGAGGCCTGTATTACACACCTAGTTGGGACATCAGATTTAGACTCAAGACACCTGAGTGCTGGTCCTGGTGTGGACACTTGTTTAACGATACTAACCTCAAATTAATGATCCTGTGAGATACCAATCACAGGCTGTCAGGTCCTCTGGTTGTTTTTTATCTGAATCGTAAGCAGAAGTGGGCCTCACACATCTTGAGTGCTCAATAAGTATTTGTTCAGTGAATTAAAATGGATGATCAAATATTGTGCAGACAAATAGTTACTTCTTACAATATTTGGAAAAAGTTGAAATCAAGGATGCCATCCATCTGTTACCAGGAGAGAAGCTAAAGTTGATAGAGGAATAAGTCCCAACTGTTCATTGTGATAGACCATAGAATGGGCCTGGTGACTTTTTACTATGTCTCTTGTACAAATCAGAAGAAAACATTCAATCAAAAAGGAGGGAGAATACTTTAGGTTTAGAGCATCCTCTCATTTACTCCATTGTGTCCTTATTTTTCATTATTTTAACATACTTAAAATCGTGTTCATTCTTAAAGCACTGGGGCTTGAGAACAGAAAAACATCAAAATTAGGGATGCCACCTATGTTAATGAATAGCAGGAAAAGGTCATAAAATAATTTCCTGTTCTGTGATTTAATTGAGGACCGTTGTTCCTTCTACCTCAGATTACAAATTCTCCACAACTTTAACAGTTGTTGTGGCCAAAGAATTCATCATCCTGTGAATAATCTGATTAAGTCCCTACACAACTTAACTATGCTGGTCCTCAGACAACAGCCATAAAGTCCTACTCTGATTCCTCATCAAAGTGAAAATGTGACTCTGGGCTCTTCAGATTGTTATCAGTAAAGTGTAAGCTCTGGAAGGTTCTACTCTACTGGAAAGGTTTCAGGTATAGGTCTGGTGGTGATGATGCTTCAAGGATCGGCTCGGTGATGATTAGAAGGAATAGGAAATTAATAGCTCTAAGATCCCTAGTGTATATTGTTGTTTTTGTTGTTGTTCAGTTGTTTCAGTCCTGACTCTTTATGACCCCAATTTGTGGTTTTCTTGGCAAAGGTACTGGAGTGGTTTGCCATTTCCTTCTCCAGTTCATTTTATGGATGAGGAAACTGAGGCAAACAGGGTGAAAGTGACTTGCCCAGGGTCACATAGCTAATAAGTATCTGAGGCAAGATTTGAACTCAGGTCTTCCTAACTCCAAGTCTAATGCTCTATAAGATCACCATAGTTCATTGTGTCTAGATACAACATGGTGTTCTGAAGGAGAGCCCACCACAAAGCCAAGGATTCCAGCCATGCATCTGACACATACTGGCTTGTATGTCCTTGGGCAAGTCACTTAACTTCTAAGTACTCTAGGCAACTCTCTAAGATTACAACCTGAAGAGAATGTGGCTACCTGCAACAGATAGAAGTAGT